AAGGGGGGCAAAATCCAGCAGAGGCTCAGAGATCACAGGTCACTTATTCAAGGCCACAGAGCTAGTGAGCACAGGGTTTACATGGCGAAGCCAGCTTCCTTACTTCTAGGCTAGTGCCTGGCCTCTGCAGCCTGCTCCCTCCTGGAGCATAAGGCCAGCAATCACTAGGGAAGATGATTCAACAGAAGACAGTAGTATCGTGAGCATGGTGGCGCATGCCTGTAATCCCAGCACTTTCCAGGCTGAGGCAGGAGGACTGCAAATAAAGTACAGCCTGGAGCAATTTGATGATTTAGTGAGATCCTGTCTCAAAACTTTAAAAAAAAAATTAAAAAGGGCTAGGGAGATAGCTCAGCAAAAAACACTGAGTTCAGTGCCTAGTACTGAACACACACACACAAACACACACACACAAACACACACACACAAACACACGCATATCATGTTGAGCAAAAGAAGCCACACTTAGGCAAACATCATGTGCTCTTCCTGACCCGTGTAATCTAAAAAAGATAACAAAGAGAGACTATTATTAGACAAGACAAAGGGATGAAAGGGGATAGGGAGTAAGGGCAGGTCATAAGGGGATGGATATGAGCAAAATATACATAATGCAGCCCCCCCAAAGTAAAACTAGGGAGAAGGTAAGGCAAGATGGGGTTGGGGGGTAGAAGTGATAAAAGTATTTATGTGCATGTGTGAATCTACCAAAATGATGCCCAAGAATCTGTACAACCAATAAAAAAGATGAAAAAACCTGATAACCTTGGTTATTCATAACACACACACACACACACACACACACACACACACACACACACACAGTAATAACAGTACCACTACAACATAAAGGAGGGAATGTGAGGAGCTATCATCTCTTCTTTCTACTTTGGACAAAGAGTTCCCCTCTGCTTGGGAACTCCTCTCCCCTCAAAATAGATTTATAATTATTTTACATGACCACTGCATGACTGCTAAAAACAAATCACAGTGCCGCAAATATCTTCTGTCTCTAGAATAATCACCAGTGTCTACACAGCGGGGCTTAATCTAGTTAGTAGACTACCATAAGAGTCTGGATCTGTAATGTAAATTTCCAGTGAATTTAGACTGAAAAGAACAGAACCAGGAAATGCATTTTAGAGAAGTATGTGGTTTTTCAGGCATCATAGGAATTGTGAAAGACACCAAGCAGAGCGCCTGGCCTCAATCTGTGAGAAGAAATAGATGAGAGACAGGATTCAAGGATCAGTGTATGCTAGTAAAAATCTGTATTTATCTTTACATGGACTAAAGGAATTTACAGAATCAGAAAGCAAAACACTAAAAAGTGCATGGGGGAGGGGAACACACGAACTAGGAATCCGGTTTCCTTTTACTGTTTCCCCTGGAAACCTATTTGAGTTTTGCTACTTTTACATGCAACTTTTAGGGAAAGAAGTTCAGGAATTCTGCCCAAGATGAGCTGCCGATGTGTTTGAAATGGACGAGGGAAAAATAATAATAATAACACTTCCATTTAGGTGGATTATTCCTGAACGGATAAACATGGATCAAAAACAGAAGCAAAACTGCTCTGCCCTACCGACGGATTAAGAATCTTCACAATCGGGGCTGGGGATTTAGCTCAGCGGCAAAAGCGCCTGCCTGGCAAGCGCAAGGTCGTGAGTTCGGTTCCCGGTACCGGAGAAAAACAAAACAAAACAAAAAAAACAAAAAAAAAGAATCTTCACAATCTATAGCAGCTACAAGACATTTACAGATGTTCACAAATAACAAAATGATTATTTCATTAGATATCTAAATTAAGGTGCAAAATGTGCTGCCCTGTAAGGAGGGATTGGCCCCTTTCTGGCTCCCTGTCTCTTTTCCTTCCCTTCCTTTTCCTTCCCTCCCTTTCATTTCACTTCCCATTTAACACCCAATTCTGGTACTAAATAGGGAACTCCCACACAAGAAATCCTCAACAACCACTTACCACCCTTGTTAACCTGCTAAGGGATTCAATAGCCCTAATACCCCGGCCCTATTTCTTCTTCCCATTCACTTACTTCCCAATTCTATGCGCAATGACTTGTGCACATGTAGAGGACATGAGTAATAAAATCGAGCACAGTGGCTGTAGTTTAGTAAGAAAAAAGCCTACCTCATTCGTAGTTTCTACTCTTACACGTGACATTTTAAAAAATCTCCTTTCCAAATATAGGCTGAATATCCTTTATTCAAAATACCTGGGACCAGAAGTGTTTCAGAATTTTTCTGGGGGGAGGGTGTGTGATGTTTACCTATAATGAGATGTCTGAGGAATGGGGGCTCAAGTCTAAACACAAAACTCATGTGTGTTTCATATACACTGTGTACACACAGCCCGAAGGTCACTTAATACTGTGCATGAAGCAAAACTTCACATGAGGACAGGTGTAGAATATTCCACTTGTGTCACTTAGGCACTCAAAGGTTTCAGAGTCTGGAACACTTTGGATGTTGGATTTTCAGATAAGGAGTGTCAATGGCTGGGATAGGATATTGGTTGAGTTTGTCCCTCAAGGGTTCATGCACTAGAAGCTGGGTAGGACTCTAACGACCTTCAGCTGTGGCAGAGGCTTTAAAGTGTGGGGTGCAGTGGGAGTCATCGAGGACACTGCTGTAGGAAGGAACTGATACCTAGTCGGTTATCTCACTGGCAAGTTCACTCCCCACACTTTGGCTTCTCGTCTTGCCATGTAAGCTCTCCCGATCACACGAGGTCCCCACACTGTCACACCATGGGGCCGTCACCAGAACCAAGCTAATGCTGGGCCCCATGCTCTTGAACCTCCAGGACTGTGAGCTAAACAAACTCTTTTCTTTATAAGTTACCCAGCTTCCAGTGTTTCCTTACAGTAACAGATAATGGACAGTGCAGGGCTGCTTCACCCGTGCTTATCTAATGCATTTCCTCACTTAACGATTCTCAGAAAGAGGATGTTAGGGAACGAACCGATGCACATGTGCCTCATCCATCAGCCTTGTGATGTCTGCCGCTAAATAATCGATTAACCAAACCGGAGAGTGCTTTCAACTTAAGTGCAAGGTGATCAATGGATGCCACAGGGCTGAGGGCAGTATCTCCATCTTCCTGGAGCTTATGATTCAGGAACTCAGAGTCAGCTCTCCTCAACTACCATAAAGAGATCAAAGATCACCTTCATTACAAGGCAGTGCGCCCCGAGGGTCACATGATGGACTTGGCGGTAAGTGCCCCACAGTCCAGAAGAAAGCATTATGGATTGGGGTGTCTGGAAGGCACATTATGAAGAACAAAGGACCTAAATGAGGTCTTGAAGGGTACACAGGCAAAGACACACCACCGGATGTTCCGGGGTTAGTGACTTCCACCGCTATCACCTGTCAAAGGATAAAACAGCCCTACATAGAAGTAAAATACATGAACCCTTAGAAGTTACACTGGAATGAGCTTCTGATTACTGCTTTTGGTTAGTCAGGGTCTAGAATGGGGTGCTTCTAGTAACTAATTAAGATTAAAAGAAAAAAAGAAAAGAAACTAAAACCAAAGCCATCAACAGATGACCAAACAAAAACCTACATAACACAAAACCACATCAAGGAAAAGCAAATGGCTCCCAAGCCACCAAATCGAGTGTATGTCACTGGACTCATTCACACATCTAACAAGAGAATGAACATTCAGAGCTGGACTCCTGGTCAGCTGTAGAAGCCAATTACAAAGATGAGGCCTGTGTGCTCGTCTACAAGGAAAGAAGCAACGTTAGAAAACAGTCTGTGGAGTCCAATGCTGAAGGAAGAGCACCTGCACTGGAGGTGGAACAGGCATGGTGGCAGCAGATGTGGAGCATCCTTGGGCACTTGCAGAAGAGCGGTTTTTAGTCTGGGAATGGGACAGGGTAGATTTACAGGGCCTTGTCCTGGCCCACTTTTTTTTTCCCCTGAAAATAACACAATCCTACACATTGAGTTCTGGTTCTGGTTCTGGTTCTGGTCCAGGGTTGAGGGGCCACAGCTGGTGATGGCCTTCTGGCTGGCAGAGTCCTGAGGCGGTACAGGGCACCACAGGCGAGAGACAGACTATGCGTATGTGTGTCCCCTCTGGTCTCACTCCTGCTTCTTATGAAGCCACCAGTATTCAATCCTGAAGGCTCCACCCTGATGATCTTATGAAATGCTAATCACCTCTCAAAGCCCCCACCTCTAAACAGCCTAGGTGGGTAACAGTTCTACGTTCTTAATACTCCACCGTGGAGACTGAACTCCAGCATGAGTTTCGGAGGGGAAAAACCATACCCATACTTTAGAAGTTCCCATTGCAAACTTACACGCAACTTGCGACTGTGGTTTATTGCAGGCAGGATGTGTCCGGCCCTGTGTAATCTCCCACTGAGCCACAGTATCACACTGGCACTCTGAGGTCAGGCCAGTGTTGTGAGAAAGAGTACTTGGAACTCTGCCCTGACTGGGGATTAACACTACTCAAGTATCTGAGTCTGTACCATGGCCACGGTCGAGAATGCCAACCTCGGGAAGCTGAGCCCTGAAACAACTGCAGTTTCTACCCACTGATGCACACGGAGACGTAAGAGCAAGTCCTCTGTTCCTTACTGATGCACTAATAATTCCAATTGCACCTATTTACAGATGCATTGTGAGGATTCATAGTTTAGGGCACTCAGGAAGAAGAGGTAAGTGCTCACTGTTTTTACGTCATGACTACTTTCCCAATCATGTTTCTCAGTTGCAAAAAGACTGAATTAGTGACTGTACTCACGTCCCACCATGATTGCACATCAGTGACCCAAAGCTGGGGACTCGCAGGCAGCTGGCTGCCAGCCAGTGTGGTCCAGCCATTGTGTCTTTCTGTGTCCCACTCCATGCAGAGAGCTAATGAGGGGCTGATACCTGACAGAGGGTGGCTCAGCAGTGGCACCACATGCTGAGGGCCCAGAAATTATGCCGTTGCCAGCCCTAAGCCCTGGGAAACTCACCACGTAGAGTTTGCGCCAGATGACGGCCCATTCTCGAAGAGTGCATGTGAGTTCCTGCACCAGCGGGAGTTCACCAGGAATCACTGTCTCGTGCTGCCTGATGAGAAGCAACAGAAGTTCAGTTTGCTGCGGGGCGACTGGAGATGTTATTCTGACTATCACATTCCTGATGCTCAAGGGCAGGAACGGGGCTGCTTTGGCTTGAAATAAAGTTAAATCTGACCATGGGGGTGGGGATGGTGGGCGTAGGGTAGGGGACCTAAACACACCTCAGCAGCTGAGAAAAGAGGAGTTCTTTCGGCCTGCAGCCTGGCTCTACCTCTCCATGTTTCTCTCTGGGAGCCTCACTGACTAAGCCAGGCTGCCTTTAGCAATTCTCAGAGATGAGAGCAAAAAATCCCATGTTATAGCTGGCTCCACCAAGCTGCTGCTTCATTCAGGAGGTGGGTGGACAAGGTCCTGGGGACTGTGACCTCATCCTTGACCCAGTGGCAGGGACTGGGGAGGGGCGCTCTTCTGGAATGGACTGGGTTTTGTTCTCATCTGCTGTTTTACAGGGTAGAAAATGTGCATACACTAAAATCGTTGGTTGTAGCAGATGCAATATTACATTTAGCCATATAAGTCCTCTCTGTGTATTACATTTAGCCATATAAGTCCTCTCTGGTATTTCCTAACTAGCAGGAGAAAGAGAGAGAGCAAGAGCAGGTGAACGAGTGGGCAGAGCTATAGGTCCGCTGGACTAATACATGCAAATACAGGATGCCCAGAGGATCGTGAATTTCGGGGACAAAAGGTAATGACTGAGAATAAATAGGACTCATGAAACATTACTATTTTGCAATTTTATGAAGGGTCAAAAGCTGGTTCCTACAACTATTCTATTTCTCACTTTCAGTAGAACATTTGATAAATTCCATGAGGTCTCCAATGCTTATTATAAATAGACTTTGTATGAGAGGATTCTGCCCAGCTGTAGGCTACTGGAAGCGTTCTGAGCATTGACGGAAGGCTGGGCTAAGCTATGGCATTTGCTTGGTTTGATGTATTAAATGTACTTTTGACTTATGATATTTGCAACTTACAATGGGTTTATTGGGCTATAACCCCATCCCGAGCCAAGCAGCGTCTGTACTTGGTATCTGAATGGCAGGGGATCCCGCATTCCATCCGGCTCCTAATTAGATGGAAAAGGCCTCCCACTCTGCCTTTCTACAACACAGTAACACTTGCAGCTGCCTGGGAATGGCCAGCTGGAAAGACTTCTCCAGGAGGACACGAGACCCAGCTCTTGGTCCTGGCTCTGCCACCAGGGAGTTGAGTGGACCAGAGTAGATCTCCACTTCCCATCTTAAAATGTGAGTGCCAAGCTTAGGACCAAGAATGATCTTTCAGATTTGGGCTGCAAAACTGTAACCCAGTTGTCCATTTCTCCCTAGCCCCATTCTACTCTATCAGCCCTGGGGTTCCAGTCCTACTTCTCCTTATGGCCCCCAATACGCAGTGAAAACCTCAGGGGGCACATGAGGCTCAATGGCTTGGCCGAAGTTCAGCACTGAAAAGCAAGCTGGTGCTTACTCTGCTATTTCACAGAGACCCCAAACAGGGGGCTTCTCAGGACTGAGTATTCCTGTGTGCAATCATACATACACATGGACCCACATGCACATGCACACCGCAGGCACACACATGGACCCATATGCACACCACACACACACACACACACACACACACACACACACACACACTGTGAGGGGGCAATAAATACAAGAGGGAGGCCAAAGCCCTCAAGCTCACTGCTGCTGTCTTTACTCTTCTGCAGAAGGATGCTAGGAAGGATAAAAAGAGCAGACAGAGAGAAGCATTATACTAAGGAGATATTTTTATTCATTTCTCTCTCACAGAAGAGAAGTAACTCAGTGAGAAAAGAGAAATATCAACATGCAGCAGGCACTGTATCATGAAAATCTTACATCTTCATTACTGTTTTGGGGTCTTCCTAGGTGGGAACTTACCCTCGGTCTTCCACAGTGGCCTCTTTCAAATGGATGTATGTTTCAGGAAAAATACCCTACAGAGAGAAGAACGTCTGGTTACATGGCTGTAGAAAACCTCGGGCCCAAATCAAGAGCATGAACAGCAGCAAGTGTGACTGGCAACACCTGGACAACAGAAAATGCTTCCACCAGGTCTGTAGGACATCAGTTATACCAACTGCTCAACACAGGCGTGCTGGGAACGCGGGCGAGGGAGGCGTTTGGGTGCAGAAAGCATAAGGTAAGTGTTTCATAAATGAAGAGGCAGACACGCCCTCGTGAGCTCACAGCCACAGCAACAGGGAACTCCTTCAGATCCAGCATCTCTCAAGATGCTTCCCATCTTGAAAGGACCTCACAGAATGAGGGAGATGTACAGCTACATAGAACTCGGTCGCCCGTAAAAAATGATAATGATTTTCTCAAGTCATTTTTCTTTCAGCACTTTCACCCACAGCACACACATCCCAAATCAATGGTATTTGTTACCTAATTATTTTCCAGCACTTCGCAGTCTCAAATTGTTCCCCCTCCTACGGGGACAAGAAGCAATTCAACATTGGTATGGTGACACTGCTCACAGGGGGATCTAAAGCCCAGGAAGACCTAAGAGAATGACAGGAAAATCCTGGATATGAACTAAAGCACTGAGGATCAGATCCAGCAATAGGAAGAGAGTCACATACATGGGTTTTCTGATCAACCGAAAGCTCCTGCTGTCTCACTGTGTCAAATGCTCCTAAAGCGAGAGAGAAGATGCTATCTGGAGAAAACACTTTGCTTCAGGGTAGCTTACATGCCAGACCAGTCGAGGCAGAAGAACCTGTTTAGGTGCACTTTGGCTCAGATGCTCCTAGCCTCACTTCCAGAAGAGGTTCCATAAACTCGGGGACAGCACATGTCTGAGTGACTGACCACAAGTGTGGGGGGACATCCCACCACCCAGAGGACTGAGGTTCAAGATCTGTGTGCACCATGTGATCCTCAACCCACTCAGAGATGGGAAGCAAGTGAGCATCAACGGGGTGGCTCTGCGTCCCGTTTCATGCGCTGTATTTGTCTGTATGATACTCTCTACTCGCTCTTTTCATCTTCTGCCAATTTCACAGGAAACAGCAAGAACATTTGGGATTAGCACTGTTGATGACAGAGTGGATCCTGCAACTGCTCAAGGCAGAAGCAAAGGGCCCACCTTTTCCAACCAGGAGGACGGAACCCAAAAGAAATCGTATGCTTCTCTTTCTCCTTTAAGGCAGGTGGAGCTGAATGAGTGAGAAAGCTCTTTGTCTATCCCATAATTGCTAAGACCAATAACCCACACATGGACAAGGTGAGCTATAGGTCTTTCATTACAGGTACTGAAAGCAGTGATTCGGTGAAACTGATCAAACAGTTATAAATAAAAATTCAGAGAGGGTGTGTGTATAATCAATTTGGTGCCTGATTTCTGGAGTCCTGAAGCTCCAGATCTCTTTCCAGGATGCAGAAGGAAGTGGGCATGCTCTTTCTGTCTGCGGAGCTGAGGCCAGTGACGTGGTGATTGTCATCGTGGACACTCGGGCTTGGCTGTCCAGAACGCACCTTGAGAATATGATGCTAAGTGCAAAAAGCCAGTCACCAAAAGACCTGAGTGAGGCGCTTGGGGCTGTCCGCTTTACAAACAGAAAGTAGAATGGGGTTGCCAGTGGCTGGCGGGTGGGGGTGAGGGGCCCGTGTGTGATGTCTACTGAGTTTGGGTTGGGGGAGGAGAAGACGTTCAGGAGATGGATGGTGGGGGCTGGGGATTTAGCTCAGCGGCAAAAGCGCCTGCCTGGCAAGCGCAAGGTCGTGAGTTCGGTTCCCGGTACCGGAGAAAAAAAAAAAAAAAAAAAACCAAAAAAAAAAAAAAAGAAAGAAGGAGATGGATGGTGGCGATGGGCACCACAACAGTGGGTAAGATGGCAAACTTGGTGATGTTTTTTACTACAATTTTAAAAAAATTCCAGAACTCTTAAAAAGGGAGGCTTTGGGTAGGGATGAACTGCTTAAATTAGCAGTTATAAGACTAAAGTAAGACTCAACCTTGCTGGGGCAGGGGTGTCACTCATTGGCGGGTGTGTAGTGTGCATGAGCTCCCGAGGTCCATCCCCAGCATCAGAAAAAAAATAAGACTGCGAGTCCAGAGGAATATCCTTGCAGAGATTTCCAAGTCAGGAAGATGAAAAGCCAATTACATTGATTATGATTATTAAGTTGATTATGCTTTCATAACCTGATGACTGGTGCCTCCTAATAAGTGTGAGATAGCAAAGACCGAGGTACTCAGAAATATACACTGATGGTTTTGTGACACCTAAGCCAGTCATAAGCAGGTAATTTATATTTGTGTACAGATGTGGTAATGTCTGCGTGGACAGAACATTCATTTGGTCATTTACCTCCCTGTCGTAGGTGTCACGGTGCTGTGCAGTGCTGGGGGGCACGCATAGTCATTTAACTGCTCTGGTATAAATCTGAGGCTGTAGACATTTCCTGTGCTGCTATAATACACAAAAAGCCACAGCTGATCTCGACCATGTATATCTGATTTACAGCCCCTCTCTCAATTCTGCTTTTCATTCTCAAGAAAACCTACTCACTTGAATAAAAAAAAAAAAAAAACTAATGGTTTTCTAGAAGTTGCCCCTAGCCACACTCCCACAGTCCCGCCAGGATCAATCATCCATTTCTGCAGAGCTCTTGGCTTCTTCCATTTGTAAAGCTGCTAGCTCCTGTTATCACCACCCTAAACAGATAGCTCTGCTTATAAATGACATCAAAAATTCCCACTGAAACAATACCTTTCAAGTAGCTCTTCCCTGGGATAGAGAGAAAGGGACCCACACTAAGGAGAAGATTTCTAATGGGCTGAATCTCTTAATGAAGGGGTGTCACAAGTTGAGTATAATTCATGACAGCTGGTTTTGAATTCCATTCCAATTTTTCTTGAATTGCTCCACAAGAAAAATATATATTTCAACTTAAAAAAAAAATCAACACACCAGTGCATGCTCCTTGTTTGTACCCTCACATCACTGCATTTCAAAGTTGTTCTTTAGTTATCAAGAACAAAGACACGCTCTTCCTGAAATAATTCTTCTAAAGGGTGAGTTGACAGTTTAAACAAGAGTTTTAACAACCCTTTAATGAATATAACAAGTTAAAAGCACACCGAGAACTCATGTTTCTCTCTGGGACCTTAGAGGGGCACCTGTCCACCTACTGTTCACATCAGGTAGCAGGGCGCTGCGAGATGGATCTGCATGCAATAGGAAATCACAGGACACCTTGGAAACCAAGGTCTTCTGTGCTGCAAAGATTCCTCACATACTGCAGACTCTGAAAGGGAAGCCCTGGGGTCTGGGACCTTGTTTCGACATGTGTGACATTTACCAGTTAAAAACCAAGAATTCTAAGCTGGGGGTGGTGGCACACACCTGTGAACGCAGCAATCCAGGAGGCTGAGGCGAAAGGCTGCAAGTTGGAGTCCAGTCTGAGCAATTTAGTGACTTAATAAGACCCTTGTCTCACAACTTAAGATGCTGGGGATACAGCTCTGTGCAAAGGCCCTGGGTTCAATTCCCAGAACCACACACACACACATACACACATACAAAATAAAATCAAGAATTCAGTGTGTGCGTTTCATCTGATTTTGTCTGAGAATTTTTAAATTCACTTAGAAAAACAGGATTAGGAATTCAGCGACTTGAGTTTTCTTACTCTCTAACAAATTCAGAATATTATAACCATGAACTCTTAGTCTACTCCAAAATAACCAGCACTTCCATAACTGTGGAATTATACCAAGCGGGCAAACCCTAAACCAAGCAGGAGTGGCCGTGCCGGGCCCCGGGTCTTCACTTCAACCTCACCACCCTCCTCACTCCAGCGCACCTGCCACCTTAGGTCTCTATTAGAAGCTCAGACAAACCAAAGTCAGCAGGAGATTAAGTAGAAATAATTCATGTGGAAATGACATATGCAAAAGAATCTAACAGTGGGTAGAAATCTTCAGCATCAGGGTGTAGAGAAGGGCAGAAGGACCCAAACGGAGGGGCTGACACCCACATGAACAGTAAAGACCCCCCGGTTTTGCTGGATCATTGAATTGTCAAAGCAAACACAAGGTGTGTGTACACACGCATGTGCAAATACTTAGTGTGACCCAGGAATCAGCAACTTCAGTCGCACTCAGTTTTTCACATCCTCTACCTTCTACGAAGGTGTTTTTGGGGCCCCGTGTTCTTTTGTGGGTGCTCAACACCAGCCCATCTGCATGTGAAAACTTAGGTCGTACTGCGCCTCAAGAGAAAGAACCGCAGGGTTTTCTTTTTTCTCTCCCTTCTTGATAAATTAAAAACTATGTCTCTCACCTCCTTCGCAATTCTCTATCTGGCATGTGAACTAATTGTGAAATAGTAAGAGCTTATCAACTCTGCTCTTTCAAAAGAAAGTGCTGACATGTTATGTTGCCCCAGCAAGCAGATTCAAAGGAAAAGTGCTGATGGAAATAAAATGAACCGAGATAGGCACTAACATAACTAATGGATTCTCTCTAGCTTGATGTTCAGTCGCTCTGACACTGGGAAAAGGAACCATCTACGTCAGTATTTTTCAAACTCTGCCCACAAAGAATAATCATTTTTATCACAGCCTAGTATTACACATCAAATGCATCAAATGAAATAAACATGCATGAGGTAGATGATAATCTTTATCTAACATAAAAGTCTCAGAAACAGTACTTCCCACTGCAATCCATTTTCTTCTCTGTTTTGCAGTTTCTTTTTTCATCAAATGTTAGAATTTGCTGGGGGTTTTTTTGGTACCGGGAATTGAACTCAGGACCTCGTGCTTGCCATGCAGGCGCTTGTGCCACTGAGCTAAATCCCCCGCCCTAGAATTTGCTGTTTTGACTTCGTGATGTATAGAGGTTCCAAGGCTCAGTTTGGAAATTACTCCTGTTTTTCTACTTGACAGTGTAGGAAAGACTCACATGGTGACAGGGAGACCCATACACTCTGGGATTTCAGCACTGTAATGAAGGGTAAAGGAGAAGCGGGCCCTTCCTTCCCTTGAGAGAGGGCAACTAGAGCACTGGGATGCACGACCACCTCACACGGCTTGGGGACAGGGAGCACCATCACGACAGCCAGGACCGACTTCTTGAACTGGGAAACAGAGTCGGTGGAATTTACACTATTATTCTGAAGCACTGAAGTCAGAGAATTAGTTTGCAAGGGAAAAGAAAGGTTATCACAAATAACAACAACAAAACCCCAACCAGACTAGGCCTAGCAAGAACAGATACTAGGAGACAAGAATTTGAATGAAACGAAAAATTAAATGATAAGACGTACCTTTTTGGATTTATTCTGAAGGGAATAGCCTCTGTACCAACCTGTCAGGGCATAAGAGAACACAAAATCTTTTACGTTTTCTGGAGTAATATATTAGCAATATATGTTTTCAGGCTCTGTTAGCAACCCTGAGATGGAATCCAAGAGATAATAAGCAGATAATTTGCTAGAATATGAACAATTGCTTTGCTCCACGATGAAGTTCAGGTCTGTTTTAGAGCTGTGTTGTCTTAACATCTATAAGATTTAAAATTCACTTAGAACGAAGTGAAAGATTTCTGTTTCGTATTTTGATTCCTTCAGAGAAAGGACAAAAGCTCCTAACGTTTTAATACCTGAAGTCATTTAACAGACGGTGTTTTCTATTTGTGCATGAAGGAACATGAACTTTTACTGCATACATACATTCTATAGGTCATCTTATACTATGAAAATAGATATTTTTAAGATAATTTATATTTGTTCTGTCTCATTCTTATGCATTCTCAGGATAAGAACCACCATTCAGGATTAATTTTTAAATTGGAGCAGCAAAACTTATCTATAAAACATTTGCACCTGAAATATTTAAACACACACTAAAACACCTGGCACAGCTGTAATAATGCTATGAGCGTGAAGAAGATTTTAAACCAGTGAAAACATTTTATGAGATTGTTCGCTGAGGCTTTAGGCAAAGACTTTAATTTCTTTTCAAAAATCCAATAAAGACGCATATACCTACAGATAATTTCTCACCCTTTATCTTGTACAACAATGTGTCCATATACAAATATCTTATATTAAACATTTATTCAACACCCAGTATGGATATTTCACTGAAATAATGTTCCTCACCCCTATACCCATCAACTAAGATGTCAATGTGGTCACCTTGCCTAGGAAAACCATCTTGTGAATAGCACACACGTACAAAAATGCAAAAACTAATTAGGACCGTAGGCATCTGCCAATAAACTCTCTTGTAGTCTATTCTACATTTATTTATTTATTTACTTTGAGACAGGGTCTCACTATCCACTTCAGGCTGGCCTTGAGCTCACTTTGTAGCCCAGGCTGGTCTTGAACTTGCAGCGATCCTCCTGCCTCAGCCTCCTGAGTCCTGGCATTACAGGTGTGCACCATCACGCCCAGCTATTATTCTATATTTAACAAACCAGAAAATTTTTATATGATTTATGTTGTACATGCTACAAACAGATTGAATTTACCTTCTTTGGACACAGTTTCAATATTTTCACAAATTTTAAATTATTGGTGGCTCCCAAACCTTTATGTGACTTGGCTCTTTTTGCAGGGAGCAGTGGGGTACTTTGCTATGGAATTCTGGTCTACTTGAAGGCACAGGGATGAGAAAAAGGTATTAGAACAGGAAACACCGCCCTCATTTTCTGACATGGTGATGGTTAATCTTGACTGTCAACTGGCTTGAGAGACACCTAGAATGTTAGGAAAGCACACTTCGGGGTAGGTCAGGGCAATGTAACCATGGGGACTGTATCTGGTGCCTGCCCCCTTCCTCTTGGGCTCTCTGCCTGCTCTCCACTCCCTGGCTACCACGAGTTGGGCAGCTTTCCTCCTCCATGCCCTTCTGCCACTGTGTTTCTGTCTTGGAGCAGCCAGCCACGCGCTGAAACCTCTGAAATGGAAATAAATCCTGCATCCTTGAAATTGTGCATGGTAGGTATTTTGTCCCAGCAAGAGAAATCTGACCAGTACAGACACCAATTTGTAAGACTTCAAGTATAGGAAGACCAACAAGTCACACATTTTGCCCCAGGGCCCAAGGACCTGAACTCACCCTTGAGTGTGCGTACTTGCCTGGTTATGCTTCAACACAAAATTAGTGTTTACATGAATGTCGGGCTTCTACTTTACCCTGAATCAAGGACACAGCCAGCGGCAGAGCCAGAAAACAACATTCTACTCTTTTCCAACCAGTCCTCATCTTCATAGGCCCTAGAGAGCCAAGATGCCACAATACAGACTTTGATCCAGGGGGCTGGGGATTTAGCTCAGTGGCACCGCGCCTGCCTGGCAAGCGCAAAGTCGTGAGTTCGATTCCCGGTACCGGAAAAACAAACAAACAAACAAAAACAAACAGACTTTGATCCACTTTCAGAGAAGAATGTTTCTGTGCTTTTGTAAACAGCTTTCTGCAAACCCATTCATCACAGAATTGTGCTTCCTGAACCTGTCAGTTTTTAAAAACTTTCATTTTAACTTCTAGTGTTTCTCTAGAACTGTGTACATATAACTGCTATCAGAAAGCATAAAATTATCATGCTGGATTTGTAAAACTGAACACTCATCTTCCTTGGCATCAGGTAACAAAAGGACATTGTCTGTATCTGGTTTCCATCATATCCTTACAGTCAGAACTCCATAAATTAAATTGCTAACAACTGTAAGGGATCTGGAAATGGCTCCTAATGTGTTTGCTATTTTTGCATTACAAGGCAGCTTGAAACATAAGCAAAAAGCACAACTTTCCAATTAATCCCAAGTATTTAGTCATAATTAAATACAGCATGTCATTAGGCTTCAAAAAGCATCACAGGCAAAGAGGTAGCAAAGAGTGTATTTATCAGCAGCTTCAATGAACAGGTAATGTGAAGTCACTGGAGGAATCTCAGATGCTTTCTTAATTTTCACACTATTAAAATGAAAGGAATGGTTTGGGGTAGTGAGTCCAAAGGGGTACTCTTCCTTCCATTTTAATGAAATGTCAATCACAAAATGTTATTTCTTTCTTTCTGATTTGGGGTTTTTTGAGAGAGACAGGGTTTTGCCAAGTGACAGAGTTTACAGTCTGGGCTTAAACTTAAGATCTTCTTTCCTCAGCTTCTCAGAGTTCTGGGATTGTAGGCACGCACCACCAGGCTCAGCCTCAAAAGCTAAATTTACAGCAACCATGGTGAATACCAGAAGTTATTCTATACTAAGGTTGCTCTTCCAGTAAGGTAACAAGGCACTTCTGTCTTCTTGGAACTGCTTCTCTCCAGAATAAAAATCTTTCTTCTCCAATTCACAAAAATCACAACTCCTAATTTCATTGTGAAAGTTACTGACTTTATCTGGCTTCCTATAATCACCTATCGAAGTGTTCCCTGCAGCCACTGCACACCTTCTGGCTTGTCTAACAAATGCCCCTATAGGGCTGTTCAACAAATATTTATTAAGCACCATTCTAGGCACCAGAGTGTATCGGAGAATGAGCAGTTTCATGTAGATCACACTCTCATGTCAAAAATACACGCATGAGATGATCTGAGACATCAGCAGTATGAAAAGGAAGAAATGCTCAAGGACAGCAGAGAATGGCTGGTGAGGTGATCCAAGAAAGCTCACTCTGAGAAGCTAGAAGGAACCAGCCACAAAAATGTGTGGGCAAAGAAGCTTCCTGACACAAACAGATCCAATGAGAGAGCTGTGAGGCAAGAATAAGCTTGAGGTTCAAAGAGAGAGAGAAAATGTACTTGCCAGGCTCAGTGTGACAAGGGGGAAGCTGAGAGGAGACGACACAGAGGTTGTGTGAGAGGGAGCCCTAGTTCTGACCTCCGGATGCTCATCACACACACCAGGGAACTGTTAAAAGTGCCGATGTCAGAGCCTCATCCCCAAATATTCTGATTTAATTGGACTTGGGCTTAGAGCTTCTCAAAAGCTCCACTGGTGGCCAGGCATGGTGGCACTGCCTGTAATCCCAGCATGCTGGCCGGCTAAAGCAGGAAGTTCTCCTTAGCAATTGACTCAGATTCTTGTCTCAAAATTTAATAAAAAAATTAAAAGGGCTGGGAATATAGCTCAGCGTGATGGCCCTGAGTTCAATTCCCTATACCAGCAAAGGAAAAAATAACACATGTTCCCCTGGTGAAGGTAACACTGGCCAGGATTAATTACCACAGGCAGACGTATCATATGCCATGAAGGAATTGAGGTTTTATTTTAAGTACAATGGTAAACATTGGAGAGTTTTACATGTCATTGAGCTTTATGCTTTTAAAAGAACGTGCTGGCTGCGATAGGATCACGGGAGGCAAGGCATAGTAGGGAGAGGAACACGGTAAGGAAACCGATTGGTGGGTGCAGTGAAAATGGAGAGAGAAGAAAAGACACAGGATATATTTGGAATCAGCAGTACTTGCTCATGGTTCCACTGGGAATAACCATGTGTGGAGAGAAAAGACAGAGACTCAAGGGTATTTAGCTGTTGGACTAGAGCAGATGGGTAGAAAGCATTGTTCTTTGTTATGCGAAGAGTGGAGAGAGGAGAACGTTGGAAAATGGGAGAAGGAATCAGCAGTTGTGTCCTTCTGAATATGTGACAGTTACAGTCATGAGGCGGAGCAGAGCAACTGAGCATGTGCCACAGGAAGGAAAGGCATTCACCACGGGAAGACCAACAGGCAGGAAGGGGTCAGGCCCAAGCAGAATCACTGATAATTAACTAATAATCATTATTCTTTAATAGCAGAACATATTAAAAGGCGTGTTATGATTTGTATCTAAAATATTCCCCCAAATTCTCACATCCCAGTGTGGGGCCCGATGAGCAGCAGTGGGTCAGAGAAGGCGTGACCTGGGAGGGATAATTCCCTGGGCTCCTCTCTTCTCTCTCTCTGTTTCCTGGTTGCCATTTTTCCTCCACCATGCCCTTCTGGTGTGCTGATTGTGCCTTGGAGCCAGCCAGTCATGGACTTGAACTCACTGACACCATGAGCCCAAACAAACTTCTCCTCCTTTAAATTGTGCAGGTCAGATATTTTGTCCCAGCAAAAGGAACGTGGCTAAGACAGAGTTGCAAATACTTCATTCAAAAAGTCTGAGTGTAACAAATCAGTTCACAGAGGACCAAGAAAAAGGACTTAGTTCTAAAAAGAGTATTCAAGAAAAAGAAATGTGATCCTCTGTTGTTGGTACTATTTAGGCACAATAAATCAAACAGTTATTTTTTAAAAACCCACATGTATGATGTGTTTATATTGAATTATCAGTATCAGGGACAAATGGGTTGCTATTACGGTTGGTGAGGCACATA